TGAAGAGAAATTTCCAGCAGACAGATGTAGCAAAAGACAGTTATCCAAAATACATGAGGATCTAACAAGACTTGGTAGCCCATTCAGAACCCAAGCAATAAGTGGGAGAATGACTTGAATGCAAGATCAATAGTTCCCACAGGTGGTTCATGAGTATAACAGCCAGTGCCTCATGTTCAACATCATGTCGGAAGTGACAATAACCACGGGAGGCTACTGGACTCCTGTTAGGAGGACCCAACTGACAATACCAAATGCTGGTCACAGCGCAGCGTGTCAGGAATCCATGCCAGTGGGAGTGAAAACCATCACAACCATTTTTCTCTTATTTATTTTTGTTTATTCAAGGTAGGGTCCTAGAACTCACTCTGTAGACTAGGTTGGCCTCAAACTCAGAGATTTGGCTGCCTCTGCCTCCTGAGTGCTGAGATTAAAGATGTGCGCAACTACACTTGCCACAACTATTTTGGAGACAGTTGGGCGGCTTCTCTTAGAGATCTGCACACTCTCAAATACAGTGCCTTTTGCCCTGTAGCTGAGGGAGCTGAAAACACGTACATACAGATCTGTACACAGATTTTTATAACAGCCTTCTTTTTCATTTTTTCATGTTACTGTTTATTTTCTAATGCTGGGGAGAACCAACACAGGATAGCACCACCTCTGGGAGCCTTCTGGGATTAAAGGTGTCTGCCACTACTGACTGGCTATGGAACAACCTTATTCTTTTTGTTTTTGTTTTTGCTTTTCAAGACAAGTTTCTCTGTACAGTCCTGGCTATTCTGGAACTTGCTCTGTAGACCAGGCTAGCCTTCAACACAGAGATCCATCTGTCTCTGCCGCTGCAGAGGTTCTGGGATTAAAGGCATGTGCTACCACTGCCTAGAAGGAACAACCTGACTCTTAAGTGTCCAGAGTTGAAAGCAACCAAGATGTCTGTCCATAAGTACAACTAGATAATAAGGCTTTACTCGTCCTTCAAAAGAAATGTGTTATCAACCCCAGAAAACATGGAGGAGCATTAACTGCTTATTACTAAGTGAAAGATAGATTTGAAAAGGACAGATACTATGTGATTCCAAGGAGATGACATTTTGGGAAAGACAAAACTTTGGAGACACTTAAAAAAGAAAGGAAGGAAGGAAAGAAATAATAACAGCAATACTCTATAGTGTCCAGGGAGAGGAGTAGGTAGGGCAGTGTGGTTATTCTGGATGAATCTGTAATGGCAGATGCATGACACTTGTCTAAACTCAAATCATGTACAGTATCAATCTGACCCTTAATCTAAACTGTAGACTTCAGGTAATCACGATGTGTCAACATACCATGCGGGGGACTTGAATGTGGCTATGCACGTGGGTGGGGTTTTAGGACACCTCTGACTCTGGAAAACAATGTTACATGAAAATGAGCTCTGAGATACTTTATTAAATATAGAAATCACTTACTGGGGAGAGCTCTATGGTCTCCCCAGTGGCCAAGATCCAAGAGAGCGAGATTTGCTTTCCCTTCCCATTTTATCCTCACCTGTCCTGCATACCTCTGTCCACACCCCAAAGGAGCATGGACAGTATCTTGGGAATGTTAGCTTTCCCCTACAATTCTCCTTCTAGTCTAAATAAAAGATTTAAACTTGATATAAAGCTCAAACATATACAACATATATACATAGAAGGTGTTAAGCAAGTTATAATCTTCTTATATCCTACCCTAAGTATATTTATCCCATCTAAATCTAAGCTTATTTGAAAGAGATGCCCAAGTCTGAACACCTCCTTCCAATCCCAACCCTGAAATAATTGAAAACTAACACTAACAGGTGTAAATTATCCTGCAGTATCAACAGTAGGGAAAAGAGGCGCAATATTCTCAAAAATTTCCTGCTGAAATGGGACAACATGGGAACCTGTAGGAAGAAAATGTTAGTGTAGCAAGAGTCTTAGATTCAATAGTCTCTGTTTGGGCTCTGTGTATTTTTCATTCAATTTTAATATGAATATAAGACTGTTATAAAAATACCATATTGCCAGGTGTGGTGGTGCATGCCCATTGTCCTAACAGATCTGACAGACGTGTGCATTGTGGATTTCTGGGTAACCAATTACAATAAGGTTAGAGACTTGCAAGAGTAGCAATTGATTAATCACAGTTCTTTAGATGGTCCAAGTCGGGCAGGTCAGAAGTAGTCCAGAAGTCTAGGGAGGCGTAGCTGCATGTAGAGGTGGAGGGAGGACAGAATCATCTAAATGTCACTCACCACCGCATCCCTCCTCTTCCATCAAGCCCTGTGGTGAATTGCAAAGTCTTCCCCAGAGCACATGAATAGCCTTGGTCCCTTTTTGTCTCAAGCTGCCTCTGCCACATGCCATCCCTTCTCTTGTCACATCTCCCTCAAGGCAGCATCTCATGGCACAATTTCCAAGTGTTCCTTGGTGCTTATTGAGTTCCTTGTGCCAGTCCTGGGAACTACAGCTGCTTCAAGTGAGGCCTTTGGAGATTATTGGCCTGGAGCCAAACCTGTGCTGTCACAGCCAGGGAGCACCTGGAGACTTTCTCGGAGGACAGCCTAGGAACATTAAGACATCTTACAGTTATTAAAACAAAAACCACCGCCACCAAAGGTAGCACAATCCCCAAGCCTACAGCTCCTGTAGTCACTTGACTGAAATTCTTAAAATCTTGAGAGCCGACAGCCCTCAACTATTTGTCAGGAGACCAGAAATTAAGTCCTTGCAGTCTGTTGTTTGGGCCTGGAATGAGAGAGAAAATTAGGCCTAGTTCAGTTCCAGTTTTGTTCAGAGACACAAAATAACATAAGTAATCAAGTGTTCTTGTACCCAGAGCCTAGGGATGGCATAGTGTCTCTCTCTAAGTTATCTACTTGCTCATTTGTCACAGAATCTGGGTGGCCTGGTGAAAAATATTATGTATAATTATAGCCACACCCACAAATGCTTTTATTTGATATTTGACAATATATTTTATTGTACTTCCTTAAAAGATCTTTTTATCTATTATTTGACAACGTCATACACACAATGCATTTTGATCATATCCACCCCAATTTCCCACTGCTGTTCTTTTTAAGCTTCCTGCAACAAGCCTCCTAGAATTTCATGTTCCCCCTGACTTGAATGCGTGAGACCAGTCAGTGCTGCCTGCCGACTGATCTCATTGGCTTGACCTTGTGTGGGAAAGCGCAGCTGCTGTGAAGTTCACGGGTGAAACAACCATGTTATGACACGAGCACAGTATTTCACAGCATTTCCTCTCCATTCTCGCATCTCACAGCCTGTGTGCTCCCTCTTCTTTCATGAACGAAGAGCTTCTGCACTCATCCCTGGTTTTGGTTGCTCTACTCCGGACAGTGTATCTCTTGATTTGCCTTTTCTTTTCTGTATCTGTGTAGATCCTAGTCCATTTCGTTGTTGCAGAGAGTTGAAAGTCTGCCTTATCCCATCTAATGAAACAGACTGGCCATTTTATATTGCTGAGAAACAAATCTGAGTCAGTCTTAGGGCTTGGTTTAGAGGTTTAGTGATATCAAAAGCTGGGTATGGTAGTGTATACTTTTAATCCCAGCACTGGAGAGGCAGAGGCAGGAGGATCGCAGCAGGTTCTGGGCTCAGCCTGGGCTATGTCATGAGTTTCAGGATAGGTATAAAGTGAGGCCCTGTCTCAAAATAAACCCAGAACAATAATGTTGGTGATGGTTGGTGGCAGTGGTGATGGTGATGTTGGCAAGGATGAGGGTATTGTTAGGACCAGGTTTCTTTTTTCTTTTTGCCACTTCTTTTTAAGAAGACTTACTCATTTCTATTTCTTACTTATACGGACATTTGCTTGCATGTATTTCTGTGTACTACATGCATATATGATGATGGAGGTCAGAATAGCATGTCTGATCCCCTGGAACTGGAGTTACAGATGGCTGTGAACCACCATGTTGGTGCTAGGAATTGAACCTGGGCCACAGGTCCACCAGAACAGGGACACAGGCAGGGAAACAATGTGTGGCGTGTTTGGAATCAACATAGAAAGTCAACCTGGAGAGGAGTAAGACACCTGAGGAAAAAAAGCATCTTATATACAAGATAGTAAATATGATGCAATTTCTATGCTTCAGGAACATCTGTAAAATGCACCATTTAGTATTTCTCAAATTTACTTATCTGTGCGCGTGCATATGGAGGCTGAACAACTTTTGGGAGTCAGTCCAGTGTATGAGTTCTGAGGACTGGGCTCAGGTGTTCAGATTTAGTGGCCAGCGTGAAGCTCACCGAGCTATTTCCTAGTCCTTTTGAGAATTCTAAAAGGGATTTTTGGTTTGTCACCATGTCAGAAGTCTCCACATAAACTATTTTGGCATTTGTGTACTTTTTAGTTTACACCTCCTTTGTACCTAAACTAAAGTTTAAAAAGCTTTTTGGTCAGCATGTGCCTTTCACTGCTTTCCCAAATGCTGGGAGATGCCAACATTTTTTTTTCTTTTGCTGAAATCATTTCTCATTCCCTTAATAAATAACATAGAGACTGTGATGGTTAGCATCAATTGTCAGTTTGACAGAATAGAGATTCACCTGGGAGATGGGCTTTGGGAACGTCTGTAAATTAATCATTACATCAACTGATGTGGGAGGACCAGCCCATGTAGTGCCCGTTTTATGGGAGTCACAGTACTTTCCTGCTTCCTGGTAGCAGATGTGATGTACCCATATGCTTTAGGATCCTGCAATGTGGGCTTCCTGATGAGATGAACTGTGCCTTGAATTGTGAGCTGAAATAGAACCTTCCTTCCTGAAGTTGCCATTTTGTTTTTGTCAGTTTTTTTAATCATAGCAATGGAAAGTAAATTAAGAGATGATGTTCACGAAAAAGCCTGGGGCCTTCTGTTACTGGGTTGCCATTGCTTTGGTTGCTGGAGACAAAGAACAGACAACAGAATGTTCCAATAGCAGTCACTAGCAACAGCGTCAGAGTGTAGGACAGCAGCCACTATGACAGACAACGGAATATTCTCAAAACATCTCCATATCGTAATTCTAATTCCAGAGAATCCTGTCTAATAGGCAGAAGTAGTAGCAATGTATCTTGAATAAGCTAGTTCCTAACATGGCAGCATATACCTTCCATGCTTTGGAAATAGAGGGGTAGACTCGTCTCTTCTCCCAGGGTTCTCATAACCCAGAGGCAGAACTGCTACAGCTGCTGAGAGTGAGTAATTCCATAGGATATCTGGGCAGAGCTTGAGGTGGAGTGGGAGCATTTGTGACAGCAGGACTCTGTCTCTCCCTCTGTCCCTCTGTCCCTCCATCCCTCCATCCTTCCATCCCTCTGTCTCTCCGTCCCTCACTCCTCCTCTTCTGTCTCCTTTCTCCTTCCTTCTGTCTCCTCCACCTCTGATTAGCACATATCCAGAAACCTTTAACTGATGTTGAGAGCAAAAACGCCACTTTATCCTTTAAAACATATCTGCCAATTCAAATAAAAAAATCAAAGTAAGTTAAGAAAATGTTTTGAAAAATCAATCTGCACTCTTTAGAAAGCTTCAAAAATCAGGACAGGACATGGGCTTTGCTGTAGGTATGTTTTCTCAAAGATGGTATTCACTCTTCTTCATCATGCCCATTGTCCTCATTAGACTTCAGGGATCCTAGGCAGTTTGACAGCTTCTGCAGACACACAGCGAGCAGGAAAAGACCGTGACCTCGTATCTCGGAGTCAAGGGCACATGCTGGATGTGAGAAGACAGTTTCTCAACACTGTGTGATCAGTTCCTTGGGCTTCCTATTCAATGCTTTTCAGGAGTCTTATCAAATGTGTCTCACCTTTTTCCTCCAGCAGGGTGGCTCATCAGGGTTACTATCACAACTATTTTGCTCTGCGCAATGAAATTACCAGAGATTCCATTTGCTGAGATCATATGTAGACAGCAGTGCTCTCTGCCTTATTATCAAATGATTATAGAATGCCCTTCAATAATTCCTTAAACTCTCAAATGCCTTGGAAATAATATGCTGGAATATTACTGAGCTGTGACTGAAGCGCCATTTGTGCTCAATATGACAGCACACAAATGATATTCCTCTATAAAAGTTCAAACTACATTAATCTTTTAGGGGGCTCATTGACTAGGAAGATGGCTTAGATATAAAATAAAGACACCGAGGGCTCATTGAGGAGCACTTTTTCTGGCCAGAATTTCTAAGAACAAGCATAAGATAAGGTCCATAAGTTAACCCTTTATGATGAAGATATGAATAAGTGAACCCAGTCGCAGAGGAGAGGTGGAAATGATGAAACATGCCATTAACAGAGGGAAAGGTGAGCTTTGAGGCCTGAGATATTCACAGTACAAGTATCAAAAAGCCAGCATAAATAAACAATGTCACAGTAGTTAAGAAACTTAATAACAAAGCGAGGCATTCTCAGGTTGGTGTCTATGGTTCTGGCCCCACCTACTTCAATGCTTGGAAGAGTGGTGGACTCACTAGGTAGCCTTTCCTAATGTCATTCCCCACTCCCAAATTTCCCCTTACATTAGGGACAAATGAAGAGCAGTTGCATGGTTGAAGCTTTTGTCTTTCCCTGGAGTCTATAGATGCAGCAGAACATAGGACAGTAGCGTATGTCGACAGGAAAAGACTCGACAGGTAAAGGTGCTTGGTGACCTTTGTACCTGTGCTCCCCCAAAATAAATGAGTGAATAAATACATTTAATAAAAAGAGGTAAGAAATAGGTAGACTAATTTTTAATAAACATGTGAAATATGAAAAAGTATTACTTGTTTTTAAACCAACCATAGAAGTAGTAAGTATTGAATTATGAAATACACAGCAATATAGAGAAACACAAGTGGTGATGGGGGCAGCTTAGTAGGTGAAGTGCTTGTTGTGCAAGTGGGAGGACCCAGGTTCTGATCCCCAGCTTCCATGTAAACACCTAGGTGATGGGGGATGTCTTTTTGTACATGTGTTTCCCTTATTGGTTGATGAATAAAACACTGATTGGCCTGTAGCCAGGCAGGAAGTGTGGCAGGACTACTAGATGAGGAGAATTCTGGGGAGAAGATAGAGAGAGGAGCTGCCAGAGAGACTGCTGGGAAGATAGGAAACTGGGCATTCTCCGGCAAGATAAGGCCATGTAGAAATACATAGATTAATAGTTATGGGTTAATAATTAAGAGATAACTAGCCAATAAGAAGCCTGAGCCATCAGTCAAACAGTTTATAATTAATATAAGTCTTCGTGTGTTTATTTGGGACTGAAGGGTGGCCGGACTGGGGTGGGGGGGTACTGAAACTCCATCTACACCTAGGGATGGCAGTGTATACCTGTAACCCAGGTGGATTCCAGGAGGCTTGCAGGCCAGGGAGCTTTGTAATCAATGAGCTCCAGGAACAGTTAGCAACTGGCTTCAGAGAATAAGGTGGAGACTGATCAAGGAAGACACCTGATATTCTGATGCTTCTGGCCTCCACACATACATGCACAGAGGTATGTATCCATGCATACATATGCATGCATGAAAATAACATACAACATACACATGTGCACACACATGCACAAGCACATGCAAATGCACACACTTATACACACATGCACACACATGCATATACACAGCACACACATGCACACAGCACACACATACGTACACACACACGTATAAGTTACTTGTCATCACACTGCCCAGAGAAAGTCATCACCAACATGTTGATGTATATCTTAAGGCTTTCTTCTCTAAAAGAAAGTATCATTTTATGGATCACCCCTTCTCTCTTTCAGAAACATAGTGTATGTCGCAGTCTTAGTCTCTGGTCTATTGGTATGAAGAGACACCATGACCAAGGCAACTTATATAAGAAAATACTTAATTGGGGTCTGGCTTACCGCTTCAGTGGCTTAGTCCATTATCATCATGGTGGATAGTGTGGTGGCAGGCAGGCAGGCAGGCAGGGTGTTGGAGAGGAGCTGAGAGCTTTATGTACTGATCTTCAGGCAGGAGTGGGCTGGTATGGGCTTTTGAAACCTCAAAGGATTCAAACCTACGAGCCTATGGGGGCCATTCTCATTCAAATCACCACAGTCCTCATGTTAACAAATAGGTGGTCAAGGTCCCCATAAAAGAGATTATTACTAACTGTTAAATGATAGACACTGATTTTATTTATTACAAATACAGGCTTTGTAAAAACAAATAGTATAAAAAGGTTATTTAAGAAAATGAAAAAAAAAACCCACCTAAAATCTTACCACCTAGAAATAATAAGCAACAGTAATTTGGGGGAACAGTCTCTGATATATCCTCAGCAGCAGTGTGATCAGTGGTTTCCCCCAATCCTGTAATGCTAGCAGCTCTTGTGCTGAGACAGTTCTGGAGTCACAGAGGCTCACTTGAAAGCCAGTAACGTAGGATAGATTAGACACACTTCAGCAGTTTCTACCAGAATCGAAGGTGGAGAGCAAGTCAGGAAAGGTTAGAGAGAACCGGCGCTCCCATGGACAGATAATTGTGGGGGCAGGGAAGGGCTGGTCCACCTGCATTTCCATCTTGAGTCCTGCTGTGGCAAACAGAAGAGCCCCACTCAGCGATTCACATCGGTGGTCAAGCTTCTCTTGCTCCCGGATATAGAGATGCTCTGTCCGCACGTAATTTGTCCCATCTACTCGGAAACTCACTCTAAGTTGATCTCCAGGGTAACAGTGTTGAGAGGAGAAGCCCCAAGAGCTATGTAGCCCACTGAAGGCGTGAGTAAACTCCTCCCAGGTATTTATTACCGAGGGAGCTGTTTGCTGTTCACAAGGGCCACCTCGGGTTTTGTCTTCTTCACCGATGACTCAACCCAAAGCAGTTGGTAAAAACATAGCATCGTGCTCTCTTCCTTCCCGACTCCTAGACTGTAAACCCCAAGCAAACTTCAGTGCTTTATAAATCACGCAACCGAAGATAGTTTGGTATAGTAACAACAGCAATGGCCACAAATAGATGAGGTTCCAAACATACTTCTGCTGTTGGGACGACTTCTTCCTTGAATATTTTCTCCAAGTGCATCTACTCGGTCAACTTCTTTCCCTCTTCTACATCTGCTCAGGTTTGATCTCTCTGAAGACTTCCTAGTCAGATGATCTTTAAAAAGAATTATTTCTTTCTTGAGTCCATAATTATTTTTTAAATAATTTGTTTTCAAAGTATGTTTATGAATGTGTGTGTGTGTGTGTGTGTGTGTGTGTGTATTTGTGCACATGAATGCAGATGCCTAAAAAGGCCAGAAGAGGGCACTGGATCTTCTGGAGCTGAAGTTTCCGGTGCTCTGAGCCTCCTGTAGGGGCTGGGAAGGGCCTATGCGAGAGCAGTAGTGGCTTTAAACCACTGAAACGTCTTCAACCAGGGCAGATGATTTAACACTGCAACATGGTAACCTTCTCACACCACGGTATTGACCTTCCTGCTTTTACTTTTTTTCCCCTCCTAGCACTGAACCAACTAACCCACCGTCTGGTGCATTTACTACTGTTTATTGCTGGTGTCTCCCTCAGAAGAACGTAAACTCTGGAGGACAGGAAGTTTTCCGTCCTGCTGCACAGATTGCTGCTTAGTTAATAAATGTTTAATTAATTATTTGAATAGTATTGGAGAATATGGAGATCATGTTGACATTTGAGATAACGAAAGGCACAAAAGATTCAAGAACTACAGTAGAATCTGAGAGAATTAGAAACAAACAGACTGGAAACATCTGTAAGTTACTGTGTGGAAATGATTCCCGTCTTTTCAGTATTGAATTGTCCTATCAATTATTTTTAGAATTTTTTTTGGTCTCCAATAACATATAGACACAGTTTACTTATTTGGAAGGTATCATACAACTTGACCAAAACAGTCTATTAATTTTAAGTCTAATATATATTGAATACTTGGAGTCAGAACCAATTGACCTATTGATTTAGAGGACAAGACAGGAAATCCATTTATTTGCCAAGTTCTTATTTTCTATGTTAAAAGAATCCCCACAGTATCGATTAGCTGCTTCTGTCTACCACGGCTGTGTCTCAGGATGTGGTGTTTTTAAGTAGAGATTAATGTCAAATGTGACTTTTAGGTTCTAATGAATGCAATGATCACTGAAACCAATATTGTAAGTAAAGATTTTCTATCACACAACCTTGTGGGAAAAGATGTTGACTTTGCCAGTTAGTCTTACATCTCACGATGAAGTCGTTCCATCGTCCCCTAATCACTTCTGCTTGCCTCTGAGTCTTGCCCGTGGCCCTGAGGTGAGGACAGAGCATCCCAGTCCAGAGGCTTCACTCTCAAATGATGAAATGCTGCCTCTTGGTGGGTAAATATTTTGTAGTTTATTTTCACACAAGTGTTTGGAAAGAATCCATCTGCACACTCTCTCCCTGTCCCCTTGAGGAAACCCCACAGCTTGCATTTGAATGCACCCAAAGCCAGTAGGTAGATCAAACCCCAATGTCATAACCCTTCTAGAGGGATGACACCTATGTAACTGGAGCCCACGAGGCACAGCAGCCACTGACCATTGACATTTGTTTCCTGTTCTGTTTTAAATTTTTACATAGGTTTAATCATTTGGAACTTTTATCTACTTTTATCAGAAAAATATAAATTCAGTCAAGCAGTTAAAACATCTCTCCTTTTCAGGAAGAACCCAGAGTTGTTAAGGAAAGGTGAGAAGGAACTCATAGGAATGACTGGCTAGTTGTTGGAGTCGGCCTTGAACTCCTGATCCTCCAGCTGCTACTTCTTAAGTTCTGGGATTCTAGGCATGCACCACTATGCTTTGTTTGAGGTAGAGCTAGGAATCAAACTTGGGGCTCCGTGTGTGCTTGGCAACTCTACCAAGCTGGGCTGCCTGCCTGCTGCAGCCCCTGGATGAAATGTTTCCACAGTCTACATAGATCTTCTGTCACCTGACATGCCGTGTCTTTTTCACAGACCAAGTCTTTGCTTCAAGGTCTCTACTCTAGTAGCACACCATTTGTTTTTCTGTTTTTAGCTGTTGCTTGAGATGGGTCCTGTTATGCTCTTTAGGCTGGTCTTGAACTCCTTTTGCCTCAGATCTCCTCAGGTTTTCCAGCACACAGTGCAGTATTGTTAACTCTAAGTACATTACCAACTAGCAGATCTTCAGCGCTCTTGCTTCTTGCTTGGCTGTAACATTTTCCCATTTTTGCTGGCATATATAAATCAATGAGTTAAAGGGATTCATCATGGTAGTTTCACACATCTGAATAATACGCTGTTATCACACTTGCCTTGAATTCTCTCTCTTGTCCCCACTTGCCCCTTCCTCTGGTTCCCTTTCTCTTCCCAAACAGCATGAATAAACACCAACTTCTTGCTTTTTCCACTTCCTAAAACCCCTGATTTTGGCCCCTATCACTTTGACGAATTGAAAAATGTAGCTGACTTGGTGGGTGCAGCCTCCAGTCAGCATCAGGGTAAATAAGAAAATACACAAAGAGGGCAGGGTTTAAGAAAGATTCTTACCTGAGGATTGCTAGAATTTTCTATCTGAGGGGAAAATAAACAAGCACCCACTTTCTGCTGGTCACCTAGGAAAAAAGAAACATGCCCATGCTTTCCTGATGGTGACCTCCTCTTTGTTTTAACTTAAATAATCTGTTACATACTTCTATATCCAGTTGCTATGTCTCTTTACACGCTCTACATATTTCTCTTTACACACCCACTCACTGTTTCCTCCTCTACTCCTCTCACTCAGCACACACACTTCATATTCCACAGCAGCTCTCACGCAGATCCACACAGCCTTCCTTCCATCTCCACAATGCTGTTGCTGAGGCCTGTGCTTCTCTGTCTCTCTGCCCCTGCCTCTCTCTGCTCCCAGGTCCTTCTCTGCTGCCTCTTCTCTTGCAGACAAACTCTGGACAATTATAAGATACATTCTTTTCCAGAGTCTGACCCATTCTCATGACACAGGATAAGTCATGTGGTTTCTCTCAGGCTATGAATGTCATATTGACCCATGCATGTAGCTCTTTCCCAGACAGAAAATGACATTGGAAATCAAGACTTCACAATAACAATTAATTAACTGGACCTTGAGTGGTACAGGGGAGGTGCAGACTAATGTTGCTTCAAGCTCTGGCCTTGAATCAGTAAGATAACACCTGGGAAAATGACTCCATGGATTTGTCTCTAGGGGAAACCAGCCTGCTTTGAATTTGTTCTGAAACAGCTGCCTATCTGTCTGTCTGTATAAAAAAAGGCCATCTTTGTGACTGAGAGTCTTACGTCCATCTTCCTCTTCATCCTATGGTCATCTTCCTGATCACCCACAGCTATATGTGTGCTCAACAAGTGTAAAACACACCACCAAAACACTGGAAAGAACCCCACAACTGTTCTTATTAGGGAGGTATAGCAGTGGCACCTGAGAAAGTTACAGGAACAACCAGCTATCCAGTCAATAACCTCATGACTTTGCCAAGTAGGGCTCCCCAACAACATCTAGTGGGGTGACTTGGTAAATACTAGTTTTTACTGCTGTACAATTCTGTGGCTCTCTGTGATCCAGGAATTGAAGGAAGCAGATGCAGAGATCCACATCTAAGCACCACGCTGACTCTGGGAGTCCAGTCGAAGAGAGGGAGGAGGGATTATATGAGCAAGGGGGGTCAAGGTCGTGACGGGAACCCCACAGAGACAGTTGACATGAACTTGTGGTAGATCATGGGGAGCCGGCATGGGACCAAACCAGGTCCTCTGCATGTGGGCAACAGTTTTGTGGCCTGGTCTGTTTGTGGGACCCCTGGCAGTGGGACCAGCATCTATCCCTAGTGCATAAGCTGGCCATTCCATATTGGGATGCCTCGCTCAGCCTTGATACGGGGGAGGGGTGAGCTTGGTTCTGCCTCAGCTTGCTGTGGTTTCCCTGGGAGGCCTTATTCCATCTGGATGGAAATGGAGGAGGAGTGGATGTGGGGAGGCAGAAGGAAGGTGGGGGGGGAGAATGGAAGGAGAGGAGCAGGAGGAGAGGAGGGAGGGGAAACTGTGCTCAGTATGTAAAATGAATACAAAAATAAACTAATGAAAAAGTAAGTTTGATTTTAATAATTGCTTTTTGAGTCACTAACTTAACTTTCATACAAAAATCATTCCATGAATTTTGACTTGAGATTATGATAGAATTTTCAGCAATTTCTAAAATTGCCTTTTCCTGATTAGTTTTTTTTTGTTGTTGTTAACTTAACACAAACCTTAAGGGACCTTAACTGAGGAATGCCTCCATTAGACTGTCCGTGGAGACATTTTATTGATTAGTGATTGACTTGGGAGTGCCCAGCCCGTTGTGGATGGTGTCACCTCTGGGCTGGTTGTCCTGGGTAGTGTAAGAAGGCAGGCTGAGCAAGCCGAGCAGAACAAGTCAGTGAACAACACCCTCCACGGCCTCTGCGTCAGGCCCTGCCTCCAGGTGCTTGCTTCATTCCCTGCCCCAGCTTCCCTCAGTGACTGACTGTGCCTGACAGTTACACGAGGTAATAAATCTGTTCCTCCCCAAGTTGCTTTGGTCATGCTTGTTATAGGTACAAACAAAAACTAAAACCCTAACCATGCGTGGGTCACTCTGTATTGTATATTTATGTGACAGTCAGGTATGCTGTCTGAAATTAGGTCTTGGCTGATTTTAGGGCAGTCCGTCTGTCATATTCTTTCAAATAAGGCACCGATGTCACAAACATTTCAAATATGTAATCATCTCTTATGGTACCTCCTGGTGATGGAGCAGGGAGTGGTATTTGTCTCATGGTGGAGAGATGACCTCCTCAGACAGTTGCTGGCACAGTTCCCCTTTGTACTGGGTTCTGGGGATTCAACTTTCCTCTGTGACCAGGGACAGTGTTCCTTATCAGGAGTGCACATGGAAACGCGCTGCCCGCCACTCCTCCAGTAGAGTCTCAGAGTGATTCCAGAGCTTGGTGGTCCCTAGTCTCCCCACTCCAGACCCTCAGAAACTCCTCCGTCTCCCATCACTTGAAAAACGATTCTGTAGGTGTTTGTATGTATTAAAGTGTAACAAGGGCTCTTGGTGATTGAATGTTTCCAGGTGACTGTGTGGGAAGCAACTTGCTGATTTCCTGACTTGCTGAAGTGTCAAGCTGAGGTCAATACGAAACTATAATTTGGACGTGAGTATCTTAATAGTGACGGAAAGGCTGTTCTGGGTCACATACCAGATATATCCTACGAAGGAATTGGCTTCGTGTTTCAAGGAGTAAATCTCTTGGGGTAATAGGATATTCTTTCATTGTGAGAATTAGCTTTCAAGACAAGGTCTAAAATGTCCTTAAGATCCGGGCTAAGGTGATATCTCAGCAGTTAAAGCTCTTGCAAGCATGAGGGCTGGAGTTGGATTTCTCAGAGTCCACATGATTTCCAGGTGCAAGGGGCGGCCCACCTGTAATGCCTGCAGGTAGGGTGGTAGCCTGTCTGTAATTCATGCCAGGTAGGGGTGGCAGCCTGTCTGTAATTCATACCAGGTAGGGGTGGTAGCCTGTCTGTAATTCATGCCAGGTAGGAGTGGCAGCCTATCTGTGCTGCATGCCAAGTGGCAGTGGCAGCCCACCTGTAATTCATGCAGGTGAGAGTGGCAGCCTACCTCTAATTATAGCCTCAGTTTGAAGACAGAATCCCAAGTCTGGATCACGAAGGTAGTCATTGACAGCAAGCTCTGGGTTTGATGGCAAGAACTTACCTCATTGAGTAAGGAGGAAGACTGATTTGGGATGGTTCTTGACATTCAACCTTTGGCCTCCACAAGCATGCAGGTTTTGGTGGGTGCCTCTGGCTATATGTGTCCACCTACATTAAAGATGGTAAAGGAAAAACATATGAAGAATTGAAATTACTCAGGTGAATCCTTTTGGGATGTCAGTTTGGTCAGCAGAGCTCATCATGTAGTCTTTCTAGTGGGGACACTCAGTTTTAGGTAGACTTTTGGGTGATGGACTTCTTTTCACATAGAGAGGCATTTAGAAACTCATTCCCATAGTAAGTGATGATACATCTTTCTTTTTTTTGATTTTATGAGACAGATCATCTGTATGATGATACATCTTTAAACATAAGAAAGCAGTCTGTGGCCCCCCCACAAAATAAATAAGTATCATTCTTTGTTGTCAAATGGTTTAAGATCACATTAGTATTTGACAAGGCTGTGATCTGGCTCCAAGTTACAAAGTTACAAAAGCAGCAATGAACTGCTTTGAGTGGCAGGTTGAAATTCTCTTAAATACTTCAAAATCGTCCTCCATTTTATGACTGGGTAGATTTTTCTAAACAGCTTGCTTTCATCTGTAGTATTTCATGGAAATGAAACTTAAAATGGAAACATCTCAGCACATTAAGGTAGATGTGCCCATTGACAGGGCAAAGTAATCACTTTCTTTAATCTTTAAGACAGCTGTTCCCAGACATTAATTGCCATGTCAGTTACCATGCTTGGAACAGTATCACTGGACAAAGACACATTTTAATCTGTGTGTTGTGTCTGCTTCTGTTACACTTGATAGCCAGCTATTGTCTTCTGAAGAGAGACTCAGCAGCCCTAGGTGGCTGGCATTGTGAGACATGTGATGACTTCAAACAGGACACTTTGAGAATAATTGCATTTGCACAATACTAATTTGAAATAGAAGGATTTCTCAGTTGAGATCACCGACTTTCAATGATAGCGCAGGTCAGCACCTTCCTTCCTGTGCATGGATGTATTTGCTTCCCAAGTCAGGTGATGTGTTGAAATGTACCACACTATCCACCTTCAGTGTTCATGATTTTTATGATTTATAAGATAAATGAAAGATAAGCAAAATATTTGGATCCTTCAAGGGAGATAAGTTGAATGCACTGCGACCAGGGACCTTAGACAGTCATTTGGTGGAGGTGGCCTCTGCAAAGGACATTCTTAGGAGGCCTTGGGGTACGCAAGAGAGGTAGCTGGGATAGAGGGATGGAGGACTGACCTGAATGTGCCAGCCAAGGTTTAGCAGAAGCACACCTCTGATGACACTCTCCTTCAAAGTTAATGGAGTGTTAACCAAGGTGTGTGTGTGTGTGTGTGTGTGTGTGTGTTCTTGATTATGACTTCTGCAAACCAAGTAATGGAGGCATCAGAGAAGGAGGCAGGGTGGGGTTCGGGGCAAAGAGTTCTTGACACGGACCCTGCAGAAGAACTCAGAGTGAGGACAGGTTTAGCCTGGAGGTTGATCTTAACAGAGTAAGAATGCTTCTAGTCTGGTTAAGTTAATACGACTTTATGTAGGTTGGTAAGAAGTAAGTGTTACTGACAGAATTGATGTTCTGGAAGCTGTCGTAGTCCTGTCCAGAGATGACAGGGAGCTTTTGTGATGGAGCTAGCATGTGACTGTAGCTGACGGATGGGACAGGGTTTGGATACAAAAGACAGCTTTAAGGAAACCTAAAGTATCTCAGAATAGACTGAATAACGTGCTTGCAAAAATTTCCCTCTGCACTGGTCCTCTTGACTGAGTCTCATCTCAGCAGGGAAATAAATATTTGTTGTTTGCTTGGAAAACAGTGGTTGAACTTTTCATAAAATATTTTAGCGTGGGCTAATCATGTGTGATAAAAATGTTAGGCTTCCCTATGACATTTTCATACGTGTGTATAATGTCTTTTGGTCATATCTATCCCCATTACCCTCTCTCGTCTCCTTCCATTCCTGCTTGTGTTTCCTCTCCCAAACTAGTTCCTCTTCTATTTTCATGTCTTTTTTGGGAGTGACCCAATGAGTTTAATTAGGGTCATTTACAGAAGCACAGGTGAGGGATTATTTATAGGCGCACAGGCAATTCATCACTGAAGAAAATGGCTCTCCCTACCCACAGCTACGGATCGCTAATAGCTACTCAGGAGGGTTGGTCCTCACTAACTTCTTACGTCTAATTTGAGTCTTTTGCAGGTAACTCAGCTACTGTGGATTCAAGAGTGCAGTGGTCAAGTCAGTCCTGGAAGATGGGAGTCCACAGCAGTCTACACCTTCCTCTGGTTCTTAGGTTCTTTCTGACCAGTTGTCCATCATACTGCCTGAGCTTTGAGGAGGGTGGAGAGGTGTACCATTATGGTCAGGCATTGGATATTCACTGATTCTCAGCACTTCAATGTGCTTATAAATGTCAGTTGTGAGCCTTAGATAACATGTTGTAATTGGAACTGAACAATTATAAACATTTAAGTGAAAAATGTCTAAGCAAGTTTATAATTAGAGTATTCACAAATCCTCTCCATTTTGAATTTTGTCTTAATATCTGTTTTTCTTTTTAAACAACAACAACAGCAACAAAACGAAACAAAACAACAACAAAAAACAAACTACCAGGTTCTTAGTATGTAGCTCTGGCTTTCCTGGAGATCCAGCTTCCTCTCTGCCTACAGAGTACACTCTGTTTTTGCGCAGAACAGCTGAGGCTTTTGATAAATCTCAAGTTGTATTTAGGGAACAGATGAAGAAATCTGAAGGAAGGTCCAGGGCATACTCTTGGACATGAACATGTGATTGTAGCAGTTCATACACACTTATCTTAATAAACTTGAAATGTAATTTTCTTGGGGCCAGTGGAGCAAGTGAAGGTGCTTCCTGCACCAGCCTGGGTACCTAACTTGATTCTCAGTATCCATCTAAGGGTAGAAGGAGAGGCCAACTCCACAGAGTTGTCCTTTGACCTCCTGTGGTATGGAGACTCCCCCACCCACATAATATACATGTCAATAAACAAATACATAAAAATGATTTACTGGTAACCTAGTCACAAAAAGACAAATATGAGCCTTCATCCATCGGCTGATGGAAGCAGAAGCAGACACCCACAGCTAAACACTGAGATGCACTCCTGGAATCCAGTTGCAGAGAGGGAAGAGTGATGAACAAAGAGGTCAAGACCAGACTGGTAAAACCAGCAGAAACTGCTGACCTGAACAACGGGGAGCTCATGGATTCCAGACTGATAGCTGGGAAACCAGCGTAGGACTGTTCCAGACCCTCTGAATGTGGATGTCAGTTTGGAGGTCTGGGTGATCTACGGGGCCTCTGGTAGTGGATCAGTATTTATTCCTAGTACACGAATGGACTTTGGGAGCCCACTCCATATAGAGGAATACTCTCTCAGCCTAGACACACGGGGAAGGGTCTAGGTCCTGCTCCAAATGATATGACAGACTTTGAAGATCCCCATGGGAGGCCTCACCCTCCCTGGGAAGTAGAAAGGGGATAGAATAGGGTGTTGGTGGGGGTCAGGAGAGGAGGGGAGGGAGAAGGAACTGGGATTGACATGTAAAACAAGCTTGTTTCTATTTAAATTTAAAAAGAAAAAAATGATTTACAATTACAATTGAAATAAAAAGTCCTTGTGAACCTTTTTGATTATCCACCACACTCTATTGGCAATAGTCATCAACTCAGAAAAATGTTCCTTCTGAGTGTGTGCATGTAGGCTAGTGGTCAACCTTGATGCTGTAACTCCTCCTAGGGTCCCAGTGACAGACAAATCAAGGTTTGAGTTCACTGAAGTTCACCCCCGGGAAATAATGAGTGTATTAGGCTTGCTTATAGAGCATGCCTGAGGGTTTGTAGGCAGCAGCATGGGTGATCCTAAAGCATCAGCCCTGGAAAGTCTGGATGATTGACTTCTCCATAGCCACATGATGGAGCCTCTCTTAGTCGTCTTCAGTGTATGTGCACTAGTCTCTCCCTGAGGTGCCTACAGCCATGTGTGTTTAGGGTAGAACTGCATACAGATAGCTGAGTGGAATGGCTAGACACCCAGTTGAGGGTCCAATGACCCTTCCCTGCCCTTCCATTTAGGAGGGAAGTCAACCATCAGCAAGCTCTGTTACGATTGATGCTTGCCAGCAGGTACAACTGACAGGTAAACATAGTGACTCTTGGCTCTGAGAGTCAAATTCTTTAAGGTTACCTAGAAAAGAAACACTATATGCATGATGTTGCAAGGTAAGCCCACCAGAGACCACCACATAGACACTCTTAAAGCTGAAAAGAAGTCTGTAATACCAACCGGTGGCTGTAAGGGGTACTTGCCCAAACTATGCAGCTCTGAGCCTTACTGCCCCCTTTTATTCTATTTTATTTTTAGAAAACAATTTAAGTTTCATT